TTGTCTTTTCACTCTGTCAATTGTTTCCTTTGCATTAATATTAATTTTTTAAAGAAAAGTAACTTAGATGCTTGACAATATGGAATTAAAAATATGGTATCTTCAAGCTGGGCGTGGCGGTGCATGCTTATAGCTGCAGCCATGTGAAGGCTGAGGCAGAAGAGGATCGCATAAGCCCAGAAATTTGAGACCAGCCTCGGCAATGTAACGGTAAAATTTAATCTCTTTTTAAAAATGGTATATTCAATTTGGGGAACACCATACAGCAGTTAAAGACAATGAGCTAGATGAACAACGGTTCTCAAACTTCAATGTGCATCACAATCCCTTGCAGGACTTACTAAAAACAGCTGTGCGTGAGCCCCTGGGATTCTGATGCAGGAGGACTAGAATAGGGACCTAAGGATTTGCATTTCTCACAAGTTTCCAGGTGATGCTGCTGGTCTGAAGACCACACTTTGAGAAACACTGAACTATATACCTTTCTGTCTATCTCCCCATCCTCATAAAAATATAAAAGCTAGACTGGAAGAATACACATTGAATGCTTTGCAGTGGCTGTTCCCAGGAAAGAAGAAACAGAAATTAGTGGGATTTGTAATTAAGTGAGAATTTATGGAAGTATTACTTGTTCCCAACTTTTAAAAGCCGTATGAGGACTAAGCTCTCATTTTTTTAACTTGCCCAAATCCTACCTGTAGGGAGTCATGCCCTACAAACCAGAAATTCTCATCAGATGTGTCTTATTTGATCCTACATATCATGACTTACTTTTCAATCTGACTCTGGCATAACATTACGAGACAAGGAAAAAATATTTAGCCCCAAAATATATTTCTTGCCATACCTTGAAATTGCCCTGCAAAGTCTGTTGTGGGAAAAATCCACATTCTACCGAGAATCCCTCTATTTTCCTTCCCTCCTTCCCAGATCCAGGAGATACTAAGAGCCAGGCACCCTTTTAGGTGTAATCAGAAACAATCTACAACCTGCTCTCTCTCTCTCTGGAGTCTGCTGAGAGATTCCTCTGCACAAAAAAATTTGGTCTTTACATTCCTTTATCTTAACCTGGACATTCCTTTCCGTTAATCCCAAGTCTTCAGATAAACTCAACCGTCAACCAGAAAATGTTAAAATTTACCTATAGCCTGGAAGCCCCCACTTCGAGTTGTCCCACCTTTCTAAACCAAACCCATGCATTTCTTAAATGTATTTGTTGATTGATGTTTCATGCCTTCCAACAAAATATAAAACCAAGCTGTACCCCAACCACTTTGTGCACATGTTCTCAGGAGCTCCTGAGGGCTGTGTCATGGGCCACGGTCACTCGAATTTGGTTCAGAATCTCAAAATATTTTCTAGTTTGACTGTTTTCGTGGACACATATGTAAACTTCTTAAAACATGAGCAATATATCAAAATGTTAACAGGAGTACAGGGAACTGTCAC